CAAGAGTTTTACAGGAATGTTCTTAGCAGCTTTACTCATAATATCCAAAAATTGGAAACAGCCAGGTATCCATCAACCAGAGAATTAATGAGCTCTGTTGTATTGATATGATGTTTAATCTTGATACTAGTTTGGGTTACAACAACTACACATTTGTTAAAACTCATGGATAGTTAAGGAAATACACAGTTAAGATTTGTACATTTTATTCTATGTAAATTTTACCTCAAATAAGCACTGAAAACAAATACTGAATTCTAGTAAATGCTGAACTATTTATTTCGTGGACATGTACTGAAGTCTTTTTCTTTGCAGTGCATCCAAAAATTAAATATATTGATAGATAAATATAAAGTATATAGATAGTAAATATATATGGGTTTATATAGATATATACATTTAAACTTATATGGATGCATAGTATAAATTACATATGCATATCCCATTTTGCCTTTTTTATGCAAAAGATTAGTATTCTTTTTAGTCACCAAGTTTGTTTCTCTTTGAACCATAAATCCATTCTTTTATACTTTACTCTTTGATGCTGTAGCTACATTTCTGCTTTTTCAGCCAATTCTTTGTAGGTCTCTGCTAATAAAGGCAGACAGGGGCAAGCCTGGGGGAAGACGGAACTTGAGCTTTCCTATTGGCTTTCTGTCTGCTTGTAGTTGCCAGTGAATATCCCAGCAACACCCTCCCCCCCGCCTTTTTTTTTGACCGTAGCACTTTCTTCCTGTAGCAGCAGCCAAATAAAGTTTGCAAATTGCCCAACGCTTTTAAAAATCAGCCTAAATCCACCTTCTCAAAGATAATCAGCACCAGGCAACTGGAACTCCATCTCAGATGTCCAGGTCCTGGTCCAAAACTCCCTTCTTTCAAGCGGTGAGACGGAGTACTAGCTGACTTGTGCCCTGTCCTCAAAGGTTTGATTTTTTTTCAGCTGCACAGATGTCTCATTTACGTTTATAACTGTTAATAATTCCAAACTCTTGCTTTTGTTCCCTTAGTCCTAGGGCCAGTGGCTGCTTCCTGCTGTCACTATCCGATACCTTAAGAGTCCTCTTATCTTTAAGTTATCTAGCAGGATGTCTCTTTTCTGACAGTACCTTGAACCAGATATGAAGCTCTGTCTTGTGTACAGATACCCTAGTTTATGCAGCCTCCTGTGTATGAGCAATCGAAATTTGCTGTATTTCCACCATCAATAATGTTTCAGCAAACTTGTGCGTTATGTGTTTTTCATATTCTTTGAGGTATGTATTCCAAGTCTGCTCCTGAAAGTAGGATTGCTGAATCAAACAATAAATGCATATGTAGTTTTGTGAAACACTGCCAGATTCTCCATTATAGTTATTCCATTTTGCATCCACAGTCAGTCTATGAAAGTGCCTGTTTGTCTGCTGCCTTGCCAGCAGAATGTGTTGTTAAACTTTGACTTTTCCAGTGTGATAGGGAGGATATCTCTGTAGCTTTAATTTGCCTTTATTTTATTGTGTGACACTGAGAAGCTTTTTTATGTATTTATGGGCCGTATGTTTATCTTGTTTTTGTGAACTGTCTGCATTTTGAGAGGACTTAAAATGTAAATAAGATTGGAATGTATTTGTTGTGCTTAGAGTTACTGTCATTTTCAGGCAGTCAGAATCACTTTGACATCAGATGGATCTCATCTTTCAAGTCACATGATTTCCTATCTGGACTTTCCTTTATTTCTATTTTCTTTTCAGTTTTGTTTGGTATTAAATATAATTTCTTTACTATTGCTACTTCTAGGTAAAATATCATCTGCGTTTTATTAGGATACAGAGGACTATCTTGTGGCCAGACACAATAGGCTGGAAAACATCCTTCCTTTTTCCTAATCATCCCTTTCCGGGACCCAGGAACCCAGATCATAATGATGGAGGAAGCCCTGGTGAGCAGATCACTAAGTATACTCATTTTCTTATCACAGTTGCATATATGTATACACACATACACTTATACATATATATGGATATA